ACAACTTGTTGACTACACTCTTCAGGAACCTCCAATGCGCCTTCAAGAACCGCGGATACTGTCCAACGACGTACCTTGGTGAAGACTGACCATTCCAAAACTTCACGAAAGATATCAATTTTCAACTTATGAATTGGAATGAGTTCGAGACAATGGAAAATCGAACGTACATCAGACAGGACGCCACCATGGCTTTGTTCTCAACTCCCCTCTTCACTTCGCAGAGAGTGAGCAAATCCCTGATAACGTTGACCTGGGTGGGAGTGAGAGGTCTCTCTAGCTTCCGTGAAAACCCGGACACTTACGATGAACCTTTTCTCGTCATTTTCCGGCATCGCCCCCGATATCGATCCCACCGACCTGAAAAAGCATCGAGAACGTCTTCGCAGCGAAGTTGATCTCACCAACAAAGACGACTGAGCAAACCGCAGTTCCAGTCTGAGGGAGACTCGCTATTCCTATGTTCAGCGGTGATCTGATTGGTACCGAACCTGACAGCAACAACATGTTCCAGGAGCTGGGAAGCAACGGCTAACTCGCTGAGGATATCCATCATGATATTAACCATGTTGCTAGGATCCAAATGTGTAAGATAAATGAGACACTCTCGCATCATACGATACATAGCTAACTCATCCGTATCCACTTCTCCTTCTCGCACCTACAGCGTGATAATCTGCTAATAATTCAACAAGGTTTGAGGAAGAGAGATACTGAGCACTGAGCAACAGGCACTGGACTGCAAAAGTAGTATGCCTCCAAATGCTTGTTGGTTAAAATGGCATAGCACTACCGTTTAATGAGGTATCGATTGCATTCAGAAAACTTAATAATTTGACTTGGAAAACCGTGAGAATGGAATGACATTGAAGTACAAAATCTCTAGGACAGTCAGCACAGCTGCAGAATCAATGAAAGGCCCCACTGAGATGAGTCGCATCAAATAAGACCGTTCCCAGATAAGCAACGTCTAGACAATCGTTGCGTAAAAGCTGTGAAGGTATAGAAATTAATAGCGAAGGCGATTCCGAGATGGAGGATTGCGCTGTAACATCCAACACCTTACAATCTCGCCATCCTCGTTCTCCTTGATGGTCACCTCGGGAGGCTTCGCCATTCTCATGATCATCACTCGCCGAACCTGCGATGATACTATACAGCTAAGAGATTAGTCTATACAATAGTTACGTTATCGAGTATTGGCTGATACTTAGCGATGAGCTCCTCTTCATGGCCACCACCAGTAGCTTTAACATCGACTGACATATCAGTAGACCCGCTCAAGCTGAAAGGCATGGCAGGGTTGCGCACTCAAGTTTTGATCCACATTCATATATTCCAGCGAAAACAACATCAATGACGAATCCTCGCGGATTTTGACGACGGAGAGCGAAGTTCAAAATTATCGACAAACCTTCACAAATGAATGCTGGTTTCCTCATATCGATTATCCAAAATCCCCGGGGAACACGGAGCTCACCTTAGCATGAGTGGTGGCTGCTGCTGTTGGCCTCCACCCATATTCTGCTTCTGACTCTGCTCCTTCCGGGCCTTCTCTCGATCGAGATATCTGGTAGTTCCCATCAGCGAATTCAACTCCGAGAAGCGATCTTACAGTTGAGCAGCGAACATCTGCCAGAACTCTACACATATCTTGAATATCTCATCGTTTGGTAAGGCCGAGATTTTCGCCAACGTGGCGAGGGCCGGACCTGTAATCTCGTATGCCTGACCATAGCCATGTCCGGCATTGATTCATCCGAGCTCAGAACACTTACTCCGACTACTGCCTTCATATTGTAGCGGATGAAGTTTGTGAGAAGTAGTGATAACTGAAGACCACAAGGATTAACGAGAGAAGTCGCAGTGACGATGAAATCGAGAATAACGGCGCAGATTTAACACTATCACCATGATGGCCACACCATTTTTGCCAAGAGATTCTTATCGCAGTTCCGTTACAGTTGGCAGAGAATACATAAACTACGATGTGATTTGTCGTTCACTGTGGACACTGCTAACTCAGCCCCCTGTTGATTAGTAATCAACTCGACGAGCTGAGCGCGACAATGAACTCACCTGGTTCATGAACACTTCCCAGAATATCCTATTTTGTCCACGAAGACCTTCAAAGCTCTGGAATACTTCTACTGGGATACTATGCAGTTTATTAACGACGGCAGCGAAGCACTGCAACAGGGTGGGTTCGTATCTGCGTAAGTAGATTGTAAGCAGGACACGAGTCGCATTTTCCACTCGAGATCAGACGAGTCCACCCAAGGTTCATAGTTTGCCTTACTTTCCGGAATCGGGATCGTCACCGATTTTCAAACAGCCGACTTCATTGAGACATCGAGCACACTCTATCCGAAAGCAGAGGGGGTCCCAGAAATGGCCAAGCAGCGTTGGGAGAATATCTGTCTCAAATACCTGAGATGATTTTGGCTTGTTATTCATGAATCATGCTCAATGAACCCCGAAGGAAAAGGTCGTTGGAGCCTGCTTACATAGCCCAGCGGTATCCATTTCAGGAAGTGAGATAGAGTAT